ATGTTGACCACGCATTGCAGAAAATGGAACGGCTTCAATCCCTCAAACATATTCAACCAAGCGACGATTCTGAACTGAAAGAAATCGAAGGTTCAGATGAGGACAACGAATTTGACGGCAGTGACGCAGAGATGGAAGAAGCGAGCCCCGAAACACAAACAACCACAAAACAGCCATCGCACACCATCTTTGTCGAATCTGAAAAAGAAGGTAAAATCGCATCGAATGAAGCAGTAAAATTGCGCACTAAACATCTGGCCACTGCAGTCAAAAATTTCGACCCCGTCAAACATTTCCAAACGACCGAAGATCAGCTCAAAGTACGGCACAATCGCACGCGCATTTCACCGAATCAAACAATCGACACAGAGTCCGAAGAAGCATTGTACAAGGCCGAAATGCTCAAACGGCTCAACCGCAAAAAATTAAAGGCAGAAAGGGAGCTTGTGTCGCGTGAGAAGAGGGAGGAGCAATTGAGAAAGCTGCAAATGGAGAAGGACATGCAGAAGAATTTAATGGTTTGTGTCTCTCCATTTCATCGCCCAGCGCTGGTATTTACCTCATGTTTCCAACAGGGCAAAGGCTCCAAGAAAAAAGTAGGGGTTGACAAGCAGGGTCTGCCCGTTTACAAATGGAATGCTGAACGAAAGCGCTAGATTTGGTCCCTGTACAAGCAATGCAATAAAATATCCGTGTTTGTCATAGGTCCGTGCTGAATGTTGGAAATTATTGCGTCATTTACTTTTCGAATATTCCGTCACTTGGCAGCTGTCTTTCACTTCGCGGCATGCAAAAAAGACGTGATCAAACTGAATACGTAAGATTTTAACGTCGAAACTGCTCAGCGCAATCCCTTCCCTTGAATCCGAAACCCATCTCACAATCTTGTCACGAATTTCATACAGTGCGCGTCTTTCCACTTCATCCGTGTCTTTGGTCTTGTCAGCCAATTAAACGGTTAAGTACAACAGCATTTAAACATCAGCTTCTGGAACAACTGACGACAGTGTGTCATGTTGCAAAGATTTATTGATTGTGCGAGTTATTCCATCTGACGCTTGACCACAAATTTGTGTCCGGCACGCTTTAACCGCGCTTGTGCTTCCTGTGAAGTCATTCGGCAATGAAAGAAACAACGAAACATAGTGATAGAAATATACCCGTGTTAACCTAATGGTTTTCAAGTTCCCCGGTCGCACACACGGAAATGATGGACCAAGGATTATACAGGGACAAACCATCCACTGTCTGACATCCGCCATACAGCGACTTCACCTTTGTCTGATCCAAGCGAGGTTGATGTTGCTGCAGCGACAGCTCCACTTCCTTCTCGGTGAATCCGAACTTGTCCGAAAATTCGTGGTCGGCCAATGTGTGAACGCCGATATTGTTGAGCCCAGATAGAAAGTCTGGCTTGGACAAAATCACTCCAACCAACACTGCCTTAAAAAGGTTATCATTGTTTCCCTAATTTTTATGCCAAATGAGGTTAAATAGCACATACACAGAGTTTAGTCTCTTAACACCTTCAGCAGCGCACTGAACAACCCTCCAAAGAAGCCCCTCGCAGATCGGAAGAATTCTCCAGGAGGGACATGGTCTGCAGAGAGGTCCGATTCTAACAGGGCAGATTGGGCACACGCCAACGGGTAGTCGTACTCATCCACCAAAACGACACACGGTTCGCCGTGGTGTCGAGTGAGGAACTGGGTCAACCACTTCAGACTGAATTGAAGGTTGGCTACGTTAACATAATCATCGTTCGACTTGATACGGCGGAACAGGGCGTTTTCATCGTCATCAAGGGCATCACTCTCAAGAAGGTAGCCGAAGCTTGAGTATGTATCAGCAAGTAGAGCGCGAATGCAAGTAAGCATATCGTTACCTCAACCTCCTGATAGTTGCCATGCAAGCATGAGACAGCAATCTAACACAACGCCAAAGCAAACATACCGCCAGGTCAATCCCAAATGGTCCCTTGGCATCAAACAACGCAGGATCCATCTGTTTTACCAGCAGGTTTTCGAAGAGGCTTAGATTTGCTTCAAGGTGCACCACGCCTTTACGGTCCACAGCGATTTCAAAGAATACCTTGAGCATGGACAGACGCATTGAATTTCCAAATCGGGGAGGACAAGATGAGGATGACTTTTGGTGCAGCGTCAATGACTTCAAGAATGAGCAGGGACTTGTCCACGAATGTGCGTCCATCCTTCAATGCGACCCTGAATGAGGAGTATCCGATTGGTACCTGCTTTCCAAAGCGCACACTTGCCAGTGGCATGATTGTTGGATCGATTTCCATCATGTTTCTCAAAAAATACAGAAAATAACGACACATTGAAACGCAAGCGCTGGATTTAAATCCGTTGCGCGAGCAATGCAATAAACATCCGTTTTTTGTCATAGAACCTTCCGGAATGGTGCCCTATTAGTTGGTGATTATTCAGTTTGATGTACTCAAGCGCAATCAAGCAACTGGTGGATTGTGGGAGACTCTTTTCGACCTGCGTAGTGTTGCCTCTAATGACCCCCTGGCGACGACAGTTTGATACGGCTGAGGCAGAACGAGGCAAAGCCCGTTTCATTGGTTGACGTTTTAAGTCAAGGTAATGGTTTCCCGAATTTACATAAACATGAAAAAATTCAACGCGAAAAAGAATAACCTCTTCTTTTTCGATAACGACAATCATTGCATGATTCTTTGGTGCAACAGCCATGACAAGAGAAGGGCATTTATTGATTTTCACGCACTTGTCGCTACGACGTTCCAAACCCCATCGATCTTCTTCACGCGCTTTCCAACCACAAAGCACGACTCTCCATTGAGTCCAATACCAATCTCGCAAATATTCTTACACTCTCCGAATCTCGCACGATACTTCTTTTCGCGGATTTGCTTCATTCCCCGCCTCGCCGCGGCACGCGCTTCTTCTGCTTCACCAGCAACGTTGAATTCAATGATGATTGCAAGCGAAGCTATTGGAAGATGTTGCTGTGGGTGAATTACCAGACCAAACTGGCCACTTCCGGCTTCTGCGTTTGACTCAATATCGTACCTGAAATCGCTCGCTGAAACAAGGAGACCAAGGACAAACACGCGATAAAATGCTTCCAAAGGGTTTCCAGCATTCGAACCGTCATTGAATTACGAAAAACTGTTGGCAATAATGCCATGCAGTGCGTCGGCAAAGTTTGGGATATCTCCATCAAGAAGAAATCTGATGATTGACGGAAACGGTTGAATGTTTTTCGGCAAGACCCAACTCAACCATTCAGATGCGATCTCCATGTTCGGAATTTAGTAGTTCCCATGACTTCGTTGGCCAAGTACCCAGAAAAATGCAGTAGCGCACAAACGTCAACATCTTCAAGATCTGACGACAGTGAGTCATATCGCAAGGAGTTATTGATTGTGAGAGGTATTCCAGCACTTGGCCGATTCTGTCTCCAAAATGAGCAGATACAAGATCTTTGAATTCTTGACCTTGGAATGAAAACAGCGTTTTAATCGTGGTCTTCCTGCAAGGTTGTTCAGCGAAGAATTCAGCAATGGAAACATGATAAAACAGACATACCCGTCTCAAACCAATGGTTTTCAAGTTCCCCAGTCGCACACAAGGAAATGATGGACCAAGGATTAAACAGGGCCATACCATTCACAGTTTCGTATCCGTTGTATAACGACTTCACCATTGCCAGATCCAAACGAGGTTGGTGTTTTCGCAGCAGTAGCTCCACTTCTTTCTCCGAGAATCCAAATTTGTCCGAGAATGTGGGGTCTGCCAATGTAAAAACCCTCACATTGTTGAGCCCAGAAAGAAAGTCCGACCCGGCTACACGAAGAATTCCAACCAGCACTGCCATGTGAAGATTGTCGTCATTTCCCTGGTTTGTTGGCCGCACAGAATATAAATTACTCAAGTACTTTCAACAGTGCTGCAAACATTTTTCCTAAGAAGTCCCTTGCATCGAGAAAGAATTCCCCAGGAGGGGAAAAGTTGGGAGGTAGAGCAGATTCCAGCGGGGCAGAGTGAGCACGCGTCAACGGGGTATCGTATTCATCCACAAGAACGATGCACGGTTGGCCACGATGCTGAGTGAGGAGTTCAGTCAACTTTCGGAGACTCTCTGCAAGGGTGGATGGGTCAACTGATATATCCCTTGATCTGATACGGCGGAAAAGAGCGTTCATCAAGGTTCTGACTCCCAAGAAATCATACGTTCGTGCAACGAGATGGTGAATGTCACCAATCATCTCGTCCCATGTACTTCCGCAGATACTCTAGTTGCACAACAAAACACCAATGAGTCACCGGAAGATGATGACCCAACTCCAAAACGAACGTACCTTCAGATCAAGCAAGATGACAGGACACCTTCCGAATGGCCCATCATCCGCAAATAGATCTGGCCGATTCTTCTCAATCAACAAGCCGCGGAAGCAGCGTCGCTTTGCTGCACAATTCACCAGTCCAAAGAATGCATTGAGCATGGTCAGGTTCATTGACTTTCCAAATCGGCGTGGACGAAGAATGACGTTGACTCTTGCAGTGGTTTAGATGATTGCGGCAATGAACATGGACTTGTCCACATACGAGCGGTCCCCTTTCAGTACGGCTGTAAACGAGGAGTCTCCGTCTGGCGGCAGCATCCCGAAGCGTACATTTGTCTGTGGTGGCATGTTTTGGGGAATGATTTCCAGAAATGTTTTGTTTCACGAAAAAAAAAAAAAAAGGATGCCTTCTCCAAGGACGCTCGTGTATCGCTTCACAAGAAGAATAGCAAAAGTGAGCTCAGCATAATGTATGTGGTGTATGGCCAACACTCAACCGCATTGTGGAACCCCTGTTTGTGCGTGGGTAAATGTAACCAAAGGATAGATCGCGTGTGCTGCCCGCACTGGGCGGTCATGCACACTAAAAAGTAACAAAAAACATACTCGATGCTGCACGCAGACGTTACTAAGGGTAAAATGGACGCAAGAATAAGAAAAGAAGCGTCACCAGCAGGGTTTGAACCTGCGCATCCAGAGGATATCAGATTTCAAGTCTGACGCGTTAACCACTCCGCCATAGTGACTTGCAAACCTCAAAAAATTGCTGCTTGATATTCCCAACAACATCTGAACATCTCAATCAAACACGTTTTGTGACCGCAGATCGTGAAATTATTGGCATCAAAAATGCAAGCCATCTCCACTACCATCAATTCAAACACCCACCTTGACGCTGACATCCTGGACGCCGTTGTGGTCGGCAGCGGCTACGGCTCGTCCACTGCTGCCGTGCGCTTCCTGCAGAGCCACGGCCCGAAGCGAGTCGCTGTGCTCGAGCGAGGACGCGAGTGGCTCCCGGGGTCATTTCCCCAGACAACTGCCGAAGCAGTAGAAGAGATTGGAGTTCGGTTACGTTCGAGAGAATGGCTCAATAGGGACGGACTGTTTGACGTGCGCATCTTTGAGGATCTAGTGACAGTGAATGGTGATCTGATCTGTTGCTTGGCCCCCATCCATCGAGGATACTTAACATCTCTCGTGTCCAGGTTGCGGACTTGGCGGAGGTTCTCTCATCAACGCCTCGGTCATGATCGAGCCCAACCAACTTGTGTTCAAGTCCCATCGCTGGCCGCGCGCACTCAAAAATGAGTTTGAGCTCGACCAAGACGGCCACCGTGCATTCGACAAGTTCTACGATCGAGCACGCAGCGCCTTGAAAGTGTCCACGTACCCTGACACTTACAGACCGCTGCCCAAGCTGGAACGCCTCCGCGAAACAACGATTGCGGGCGTCACGGACAATTGGATTCAGTTTGAAAAGACACCTCTCGCAGTCACTTTCGAGGATACGCTAAACGACGCCGGGTTTGTGAAGCCTGCGTGCAACCTGTGCGGCAACTGTGTGACTGGATGCAACACTGGCGCAAAAGGCGCGCTCAACACAACCCTGCTGGCAACGGCGTGGAAACTGGGTGCCAGAATATACACAGAAGTGACGGTCCTACGCATCGACCCGGATCCTGCTCTTGAGGACGTTTGGGTTGTGGCATACACATCCACAGAAGACAGGCACGAAACAGAACGCTTCATCAAAACACGCCGAGTTTTCCTGGGCGCCGGAGCCATGGGATCTACCGAAATTCTGCTGAGATCCACAGCTTTATCGCTGTCGAAAATGCTTGGAAAAGGCTATTCTGGCAACGGGGATTCTATCGGAGCCGCAGTGGGAGTTGCGAAACCGATTGCAACATTCGGAAACCCGTCTTACAAAAACCAAGATCAAACTCCGGATCGCTCTCCTGGACCTTGCATTACGAGTGTTGCCAAAATCAACGAAGCACGGAATCCAGCCGCGTTATTCACAATGACAAAGTCTCCTTCAAAGTACGTCATGCACAAACTCATGGACACTGCTAGCACTGCCCAAACTGCAATCGACGGCCTTGTTTCCAAAGCGCTCGAAACGCTTCATTTAAAGCCTGCGGATCCCACCACCACTCTGTTTAGCACACCAGAAAGTCGGCAAATCGCAGACATGGAGGATCTGCTCTCCAAGCAACTCGTCATTGAAGACTGCTCAGTGCCTTTCGCAACAAAGGCGCTGTTCAACTCTGTCCTGCAACTCACAAATCTTCTCGAAACGGATCCAAAGGAAGCTATGGATGCAATGCGGCAATGGGTTCTCGACAATGAAGTTGACAATGATCGAAATGATGTGGACCATTTCCAAACATTCCTCGTCATGTCGCATGATGATTCGCGTAAATCTGGGACAATGACGTTGGATGAAACGACTGGACTTTTGGATATGTCGTGGCCTGGATGGCGGTCGCAGAAAAATTACCCCCTTGGAAATGAAAAGATGAAGGAGGTGGGTGATCATGCGGGACAGGACTATTTTATCCCGAATCCAGTGATTGCGCAAATGAATCGCACTGTCAGTGTGCATTCGTTGGGCGGGTGCTGCATGGGTGACTCCGTGGAGACGGGGGTTGTCAATGACAAAGGTGCTCTATATAACAGCGCAACAGGAGGTGTATACAAAGGGTTGTATGTCGTATGCGGCGCTATTGTGCCAAGAAGTCTCGGCATCAACCCGGCCCTCACGATCACAGCTCTTGCAGAGCGCGTTATGGAACACGTGGAATAACCTTCGAAATTTCCATGTGACTAAGAAATTAGATGACTGAATGAATAACTCAATTGTGTGCCATTTATTGATGACACTGTGAGATCAAAGCCCACATTTGGCACCACTTGAAAGAGTAGCAGCCTCCAAAAGAGCCTCAACATCACCAGTCTCAATGCACATGCTCCTAAAGATTCCGTCGCTTTGAATCAACTCGCTCGGAGTTCCGAACTGCGCAACGCGTCCTTGATCCAACACCAAAATTTTGTCGTAATCGATCACTGTTCGCAACCGATGCGCGATGGATAGGACAGTTGTATTCGCAAACGATGGACCCCGGACAATACGCTGAATGTTTGCGTCCGTTTCATTGTCGACAGACGCAGTGGCTAAAATAATGAGCAGTTACAAAAAGTGATTCTGGCTTCTGCAAAACAAGGCACCTTCGTCAAAAACAGTTACGGTGGAAGATTTAAGCATTGCTCGCGCAAGACAAAGCAACTGCCGTTGCCCTTGCGAAAAGTTGCCGCCACCTTCAGAAACAGCCGTGTCCAATCCTTTTTCACGAGAATTATCTCCAATGGCAATTGAACCCAAGGTTTCGACGCTCGATCTGGGAGACAACCCTTTGATTGCATACTTTCGAAAAACTTGACATCTTTCAAGCAAGACCAGACTGCCGCATCATCGTACAAATTGAAAGGATCTAGATTTGATCGAATGGTTCCGGCAAACAGGACTGGATCTTGGGGAATCATGGTCATTCTCGATCGCAGGTCAAACAAACCAAGTGTGGCAATGTCGATTCCATCGATGCAAATTGTTCCCTGTGTGGCTTCCACGATTCGGAAAAGCGACAGAGAGAGTGAAGATTTGCCTGCACCTGTCCTTCCGACAATGCCCACCTTTTCACCTCCTTTCACCGAAAAGGAGATGTTATTCAATACCGGAGGAAGGTCTGGTGCGTATCGCATCTCAAGGTTTGACACTTGGATTGAGCCTTTGCTCGGCCACTGAATTAAAGTATGGTTCAGTGAGATGGTTTAGTTTCTAATTGTTGGATCGTTACATTGGGCGGTGCTCGATTTTCTTCGATAATGAAAAGCTCTCTCTTGGTCAATTTCTGAGTATTCATTGACGCGTTCAACTGCATTCATCCTCTGAATTCAGAGGTTAGCAAAAAATAACCAAACACATCACATAAAGCATCTCTCACCATCTCAATCCCAGAGTACTTTCTCACAATAACCGTAAGATAATCGCTGAACGAAATTGTCCAAGACAAGCTCAAACCAGCAAGACCCGCGCCAATCACATCTTTCATCGCCATAGTGCCCAATGCACCGGCGAGGACAACCATACCTCCAATCAACGCAATTCGAGAGGAAAACCATCGATTTGTGGCGTACATGTAGATAAATGCACGATGATTTGTGTCCACTCGTTTCATGCTCTCTTTCTTGAAGCGGGGATCTGCACCATACGCTCGGATGGTCGATGCGCCACTGAGAACAGATGGATGGGAAAATAAGAAACAGTTCTTTCTCTTTCCAACAGCCACATGTGTAACTTACGCAAGAGTTTCGCTGAACATTGAATAAATGGGACTGGCAGTGATAGAGTCAAGACGCTTAATTTCTCGTTGACACGCCAAAAACCGACTTGCTACCGAGATGTAAACAAAAATGATCGGTACCAGAGAAAACACAAAGATAGGTGTGATTGTGAATACAACAATCAAGACAGTGAGCGCCTAGTTTTTTGAAAAATAAAAAAAATGAGACAATTGACGGTGTGGTGACTCTTTGGCCCTCACATCCATCACGGCTCCAGTCAAACTCTTGATGACTTTCATAATGTTGTTGTCAATTTCGGAAATGTCTTTCGTGGTTCGATTCAGGATTCGGCCGATGGGTGTCGTGTCAAAAAAGCGCATAGGGGCATGAACAACTCGGTGAATCAGGCGACCATGAAACCGCTTGGAAGCAATATAGGAGCCTAAGCTACTAACGAAGAAAGCTGGAGAGACGTAAATCATCAGCGGCACATGCACACACTAATTTTACAAATCAATCACCTGCCAGAACAATCGCAAGCCACCCTATTCCGATCAGTCCATATACTTTCACGTAATAATCGACATCGACTGGCGTTGGTTTCGTTGAATTTCCATTCGCCCAGGCGGATGGGGTAATTAGCGCTGCAATTCCTGCATCCCTTTTCGATAGCTGTTGCAACAGCACAAAGGAGTCCACATATCCAGTTAAAGATCCCACAACTGGTTTATACGCGTCTGCCCAAATCTTGATCCAATAATCGTTGTAAAACCGTACCGCACGATCCAACACGTTCAAGCCAATAAATGACACAACAAACAGTAGACCACCAGCTTGCAGAAAGTACAACTTATAATACTGCACTTTCATGGACCCTATAGCTTTATGCTCTTCGCTGACAATCTTGCGCGCGTTTGCAATCGTTGCGCCGTTGCTATAATCATGGAGCAGATTATCCTCCTCCGTTTCTTCACACGAATCTTCCACAGACGCAATACGCGGGGTTGAAGTGGGTGTATCATTTTGGTTCGATATTCCAATCTTTTCAGTGACAGACGGATCCAGTAAGAGCTCAAGAACAGGGCCTGCTGCAGCTACGGAACCTGACGCCATGACGACTAAGTACTGAGCCGTACTTTGTTCGCTGAGAACAAGCGAAGTAGCATGCGTGACGAGTAACACGGTTCGACCTTTCATGAGCGGTCCGCACACGGCGTGGGAGAATAAATGGCGAGCTGTGGGTGCATCAACTGCAGACAAAGGATCATCCAAAAGCACGAAAAGTGCGGAAGAGTACAGCGCGCGTGCAAGCGATATTCTTTGCTTTTGGCCGCCGCTGAGGTTGATTCCTAACAAAAAGAGACGGTGGATGTGAGAAAGGATGTCTGCTTCTCATTTG